ATATTTTAAACTTTCTAAATCCTTTAATTAAAAGTGATTACTGTACCGTAGGTAAAATAACCCATTCCCCGAATCGCTATCACAGTGAGTCACCCGAAAGCTCCCTCAGCAGTGGCAACAAACGGAGGCTGAAAACACTGCACCGCTGCTGTTGCATAACGAAGACCCACAAGTGGCGACTAACTAGCAGCTTAATGCTCCATTGGCGGCACATTAACGGCTCCGTTAGCATCCATTTCCAATGCAATTAGCTAGCGATGCTCCGTTGCAGCGTCCGGTTACCAGCTGCGATCGATCCGCATTACCCTATACCGCTCACTCTGTTTACCGGTTAGCAGACAGATCTCGGTGGCTTCTCTATTTCTTTTTGTAGTTGTTGTTGTTACCATCCGCTTCGAATTGCCACCGTATTATGGTTATGGTTATGGTCAACTCTGCGGCCGGACAAACAACTTTTCAATTTGCACTCGAGCTAAATGTTCACACAGTTTTGAGTTCGATATTTGTGTTTTGCTTTGCGTTTACACGATTTATGATAAGTTTATTTTTAAATGTTAAACAAGCTGCTGACAATGCGACGGGCAAAGTTCTAGTTGTAGACTCCCTTGGAGTGGGGGCGTGGCCCCTTTAGGCTAGCTCTCCACCGATCTTGTGGCTATCCCAGCTAATGAGCTCGACCCCTGGCCTTTTTTAATCCCCACATTTGCCACGCTCCAATTATTGCAACTCGCTGTGGCAGTTGGCAAATTAGAACGGCAAGGTGATTCCATTTTGCCCCTGCAGACCGTCGGAGGTCAGCAGGAAAATATGGAAAAAAGCATGGGCCATTAATAAACACATATATTGGCTATAGTAAAAAAACAAAAACAGAAAATATATATAAAAACCCGACGAACTACAGAACCAGCCGCAAAACACGAGATTAAACCTGTTTCGCGACAAGTGCGCCATGGCTCGAGACTGTCCATGTCCATTACAGTTAGAGACATGGCCACTAAATGAAGTTGCAGTCTGGCCAATACAGTGGGCTAAACGGATTTACGAGTCTGAAATTCCCAGAGGGGCATCACAGAATCAGATAAATACTATTAAATGGTAATGGAAAAGGTGTATTAGATGTCAGCAGTAGCTGGCTGTGGGTTTTTGTTGACATGGTTCTGGTGATTATTTTCAATATATCAAACTATGTTATGGTTTTTAAACTAACATTAAATATATCATTCTATTTTATGAAACTAAAGATAGGATATATTTTACATAGTCACATAGAATGTAAATTTATAGTTGAGAATAAATTCTACCTTGGGAACTCCGTTTGAACAGCGTAGGTGCTTTTAGGTGGAAAAATTCTACCATTTAAATGCTTTTTTATCTTGGCCATTAAGTCAAATGTCTTGACTTATCTTTGGGAAATTTGTTTACAAAAATATAACTTCCCTAATGTTAAGGAAAATAAGTAATAAATAACACGCCTTATATGGTGGTTTCCCTTTTCTGATATTTAAAATATAAATTTATCTTTGAAACAAAAACTAATTATTGATGGCAACTTTTAAATTGAAAAATGACTAAAATGAAAATCGAAAAGTGTTACATCATTGGTACATTAAGGTAGTATTATAATAACCGTTTTAAAATTTCTATAAATCTCTCTCACCTTGACTAATATTTGCCCATTATACCGTTTAATTCTTGGAAAATAAGAAACCCATTTATAAGCTTTTCACCCCACAGTATTTGGATTGCTGGTGCTGTAACAGTTGTTTTTTAGCTTGGAACCTTTTTTGTGGGCCCGGTTCAGTCTGATTTTTTTTTTGGGTAAAGTTTTGTTATGTTTTTTCTTTTCGAATTGCTCATTGATGTCTGTTTGCTTTTGGCTTTAGTTACGGCTGTGGCACCGTTACACGCTGCCTGGCTGATTTTGCACTCTCCCGTTTTAAAGTTCAAAGGTGTCGGTGGTGCACAGTCCACACCGTACAGTGTTTGTACTATGATTTTGTGTCGTGAGAACCGAATTGGTAAGATAGTTTGCACCATCTGCATGGTCAGTTTTTAAAGGTATTGATTTAATGGGATTTTTTTTACGGCTTTTCAACTTACTTTGGCTGCCATTGGTGGAGGAGGCGATGCGCAGGTGCTCAGATGCAAACGCATCTAGCAGTTGGACTCATTTGTTTCGTAGAGCTTTTTATTTTGGTAAGAGCAGGATGGGTATAGTTGCCGAAAAAGGCAGAAGATACTCGAAACTTTGAACATAAACTTCACTGATATATATTATGGTGATATTTTAGTGGTTTCAACAATGACAATGCACGCTGTAATTAATTTCGCTTCAGGCCAAATGATAATAACAACATTTCGCATTTCATCTCGGCTCGTTTCATTTCGCTTCATTCATTTATTTATGCATTTGACCCGCTTTGTGTGGCTTTGGTTTGTCAACAAAAAAACGCACACACAACAAATTGTGATAAAAACAACAACCGAAACGAGTTGCAACAATATTATTCGCACAGCAACAACAACACACGGCTGGTTGGCTTATTTTACTCGGAATTTCGCCCGTCGTCGTTGGATTCTACGCAAAAAAACTTGTTGGCCGTTGTTGTTTTGTTATTTTGTTTATGATTTTCATTCTGCACTTGTCAACCTTTTTTTTAGTATTCTTTTAACACACGCACATACGCACAGCTTTTTTTTTTTGTTAAATTCTCGTATTTTTCATGAATTTCGTGCGTTTTTATTTTTTTGGTCGATTTTTCGGTTTCATTTCAGCACCCACAACGAATTTCAGTTTGGCAAGCAGCGTGGAGTAGTTTTCTCTATCTGCCTCTCGCTTGCTCTCTCTCTCTACGTAAGAGGCAGGGGGTGGTGGGCGTTGGGCGGCAAATCGCATGCGCGCGTATCGCGTGTTCGAACTGTTGGCCTCAAGCTGCGCGAATCAACTGAGCGAAGGTGCGCGTTCGGATGAGCGAAGCTCCAAGCGGAGCTTAAAGCGAAAGCCGAGCTTTTGCAGGTGAGCGAGACAGGTGTGTGCAGAGCTTTTCGAGATAAGGACATCTGGCGGATTTTTTTGAAAGTCGATATTTACTTTTTTGACCGTTGAAAGTTTAAATTGTTTATTTTTTAAGGGTTATTACTAACCGGAGATTTTTTAAATTTACATAAATTTTTTAAAATGATCTTGCGTTCTGCCAAAAGGAACTTAAATTTTTTTGATGTCATTTTCAGACAAATCTAAGAATAAAAAATAAATAAAGTATTTTTAGTCTTAGTAGTAGTCTTAGTAACTTAAGTTTTAAATTGAACAACTAAATAAATTTATGAAAATTAAATCATTTTCTTAATATTTTTAGCAATTATAAAATAATGAAACGAAACCCATTTCAAATTAAACATTGAAGAAGGGAAAGGACTATAAAAAATATAATTGCACAGTAATTGCATTCGAGTAATTGGCTACTCGATTTCATTCATTTTCCTTTCCGCTTGTTTTGGCTCTTAATCACTACTAAAAATATTCCCTTTTACATTTTTCTGGTAATATTTTCAGAAACCTGTTGGCCTCAGAGTTCAAAATAAGTGAAATAAATTCGATTAAAATGTATTTTTGATGACGCCGGTTAACCTACAGATCCTGTATTTATATAATTAATTAAAGCATTTATTTTTGCACTTTCAGAAATTTAATGGGCTTTAAATTATAGAAACTTAAGAAAAATGTATTTTACGATGCAAATTTTACGATAATTTTTAGTAAGATTTAACAGATTTGAAGTTAACCATTCAAATTATTTTTATTGTTAATAAACCTTAGAAAAATGGCAATAAAGTCTGCAATTGCTTTAGCGACTTTAAAATCACTCAAAGAGCGTTGTTTGATTGAAGCTTTTTTTGGTTGATTGAAGGGTCTGGACCGTCCGAGAAAGAGACGGAGAAAGAGCCAAGCAGAAAGAGAGAGAGTGATTTTAATGTGCGTGCAATTGACGAGCGTGGAGCCGAAGTCGCAGCAAAAAATAACGACTACTGACCACTGACAAATCCGGACTGAAAACTAAAAACTGAAAACTCGGACTCGAACTCGGGCGCGTAAGGGAGTCGGTCGTCGGGAGTCGGTCGACGGTGGACGGCTGTCTTTTGTTGATCTTGAGACTGAAATTCCAATTGTTGATTTATCTCTCGGCTGCTGCGCAGTGGCAGCGCAGTTCACTCAGTTGACCAGCAGCCAGCGACGACCAAGTTTATAAAACTTTGAGCCAAAATGCACTAGCGCACAGTTGTTACCAAAACGTTGCACGCGTCGTGGCCCTCATCAAAAAATTTAAGCGAAAATGAAAACGAAATTCGGTTAACGTCAACAGAAGCTGACAAAAAACCCAAACAAGTTGCAGGGCCAGAGTAAGCCAAGTTAAGAAAAGAAAAAAAAAGCAAAGGCAAAAAGAGAGGCAAGAGGCCAAGAAGAAAGAGTGGGCAATATACTTACACATAGTATAGCCAGCTAATCTGTTGTGAGTGCGTTTTATCAGCCAGCGAAAGAAACGAAAACGAAAGTCGGTCCAAGTTCGGGTTTAAAATCCAAAAAAAAGAAAAAAACACAAGAAACTCCATTCCATTCCAGCCAAATCAGAGACACGCGGATCTCATCTTGGTAATGTCTCAATAAAAGTGATCTTAACTACCGCCGGAATGTAGGAAAAAGTGAAAATAAAAGCGCTCAACGGGTTTCAAAAATCGGTTAAACACAATAAATCCATAAGTAAGTTGAGTGCTTAGACCAGCGAGTTCTGTGCTCTGCGCAAATAAGACTTGTTAATTGGATTCTGATCAACAGGCCCACAAACAGTGTCTAATAAGCTGGCCATTAGTGTGAGTCCGCATCGCACTCTCTCCCTCACTCTCTCTATAGCAACGCCTTACCGCCAATTCCGCGACTTCAGGAGTGTTATGTAAATGCAGATGAAACATATTTCGAAATTCCCCAATAGGCAAAGTCCATCTGCATATATATATATATAGATATATAAATACATATATATTCCGATGGGCGTCTCGCGTTGCGCTTGCCACAAAAGAAGCGTCGTCTAAATTATGCAAAACCAACAAAAAGATCGCTTAGGAAAGCGAGAAAACGAGCAAAAAGCGTTAACTATGCACGGCGAGAAAAAGAAGTGATTGACACCTAATGATATATGAATGTTCTTGATTAAAAGTTTTAGGTTCCTTAAAGAAGTGCTTACCCTTAATGATTTTTTGGTACTATAAAAATCTAAAATGAGCTTAAATACTTTTTCTTGTCTTATAAACTTTTAAATTATGACAAGAAACTAATCATAACTAATTCTTGAAATGTAATAAGAACCATTACTTGCAAATGTTTAGTCTAAACTTGATAGTCCAAACTAATCCTTAAACTCTCTTTGAGAATTTATGAATTTCAAACTAAAATATTTAACAGTGTATATTAAAATGCACATTTCCAAAAGATTTTCTTTGTTGATTATGAAATTGGTATTTTATATCAATCGAAAGCATGCATAGATATTAATTCCCAATTTGGTTTTCAAATGTTTAGTTATTTAACTTCTTGTCTTGAAGAAAAGAAAAACACGTGACTACTTTTTATGCTTTTCTAAATGATTTCTTATAATGCAAAGGCATTTTAAGGTTTTTTTAGTGAAATCAATTAAAATTCTTGACTAAATTTCCCTTTCTTCAGTACTAAAACCAACTTTTTACCACAGACTTACCCAATTTGCTTCTCTGCCCACAAATTGGACATGCCGCATGATTCTTTAACCGCATTTCGTCTGTTAATTTTGATTACGCGCACCTTTAGTCATAATAAACAATAACCCGCGAATTATTACGTATGAGTGAGCTGCGATTGTGTGTGCGAGTGTGTCAAAGCGAAAACGAAAGGCCAGCAACAACACACCATCGATTGTGTGTGGTCAGCAGCGTCGTTCAATTTGAGTTTGGGTCCAATATCAATGGCCAGTACCGCTGCCTTTACACCTGCGCAGACTTCACTCCACATACAGCCAAAAAACCACTCAAAACGAAACTCAAATTCGTCGCCGGGCAACGAAGGCAAATCAATTGAACCTTAGTCTCCATTTGAGTCGCACTCCCAGCGGAATTGGGTTGAGTTTCGTCTCCGTTTTTTTTTTCGATTTTGGATTTTGTTTATCTTTTTGCGCTGCGTTAAAAACTTTTACTCCCCGTGTCGAGGGCCAGATACAAGCCAATACAATCAAAATAAAACGCAAAATTATTAACGCCTGTGTTAAATGTTAATTATTACATAAGTTTCTTTCTCTTTCTCTGATTATTTAACCGGTAATTGGGCTTACATCGCGTATGCGTAATATTCTAATGAAGTTGATGATGGGCTAAAGCAAGTAAGGTGCGTGTGTTTGTATCAGTTTGTTTATCTTTTTACACTGAAAAGAATAACTTGCCAAAATCCTACAAATCATGTATTATAGTAATACAAAGTCATAAGTGAAGGCACTAAATGTTAACTACAATAAAAATAAGTCCCATAAAATATATATATGTTTATAAAAAACAATTACCTGCTGACCCATTTTGGTGCCCAAGCACATTGCCAAATCGTTTTTTATCGGACTTACTAATAGCCAAACAAAAGCTGCAATTCATGCATAATGAAATAAAGACGTTAAACGTTAATTATTGCTTAAAAATAAACTCGCTCTCGTTTTCTTGGTTTCTATGGCAAACGAAGATTATTTAACCGGCAACCATTATACACACTGCGTATGCGTAATATTCTAATGCAATCAGCAAAACCAAAGAGTTTTCAAATGTGTGTGCAATGTGTGTCAGTGGGAAATCACTGAAATGCGATTTAAAGAAAAAACGTGCCTATTGGCCACCGATGGCCGAAACGAAAGTTTCTCCCCATCAATTGGCAAGCATTAACCAATATCAATACCACAGGTATCTGGATCCGGGAGGAGGAGCGAGGAGTGGCTAGGCGTGGCCAGGTGAATCGTAGTGCGGTGACCTTCGGCAGACGACGGCTGCAAACAGCAATCAAACACGCTATTGGAGATAGCCAAACAAGCGCGGTCCAAATATCTCGAACAATACTAACAACAAATAAACATATATATAGTAAATAAGCCAAGGTGACTAAGTACCGCCACAGCATGGAGATCAGGCGCACCTCTCGACCATATCTCTGGGTATTGCTGATGCTGCTCGGTCTTTGGCTGGGCACGGTTTTGGCCAAGGGCGCCAGCAATCAGACTACCACCTCACAAACCTGGCAATACCAGCAGCAGCAGCAACGGTACAGAAATCAACTCAATGAATCGCTATCGCAGCAGCCCGAGGAATTAGAGATTTTGGAAACCACTTCGGCTATTGTCAGTTCGCCCCATGAAAGCCATTTGACGCGCACCTCCGTCATTTTTGGTCTCACCAAAGTGGCCAACGAGAGCAGCGTCAGCCAAAAGTGCCACGCGCAACTGCGGCAAATGCAGCGCGGCATACTCGGCAAACAGCCATGGGCCATGAAGGGTGAGTCGATAAAATAAGCCAAAAAATATAATTCAATTTAATAACCCCAAGGAGACTTGAAAATAATAGCAAATTATTTGTCTGCTTCAAGCATATTATATTATACATTGCAAAGCCTTCAGGGAAACTGAAATAGGTTTAGCTCAAAGTTTGACTTGTGGTTATTGGAAAATTAAAATATATATTTTGAAAATGGCAATAATTTCATTTTATTTCTACGACAAAGAAGACAAATAAGTTCATTTTATTTTAAAGAATATCTAATTACTCAATACTTTCTGTGCATATTGACTACACAAATTTGACTTGTTTGTTTATTTTGTAATACTTAATTAAGGGTAATTACTTTTAAATGACAAGAGACTTTAGATATATGATTCACAAAGTTAACACAATCTATCGAAATTCGCACCTTAGCGAGTTCATGCCTACAAGTGAACCACACAAACACTACCCATGTAATTTGTTAAGCTAAGCAAGTGATTCATTATTAGAATAACGTATTGAAGTATTCTTTTGAAGTCGGTACTCCAAAGTACTAAACAACTTAGACTCAGTGAAGTTAGAGAAATCCCCGATGATTCATCCTGTAATTAATACATCAATATCGGCTTAGATAGTTACTTAAGAACAAACAATAATTTAACTCAGTTGTACATTGTAGCTTGAACCCCCGAGCATAGAACATTTTAGCACCTTAACAACCTTAACAAGTTTCCCCAACCATTGTAATCTCATGGAAATTCCTTCAATTTCTCCACAGTTCTTGATGCGTCGGGCACTAAGCCATCGGGCTTTGTATATGGCCAGAACTATTGGCTGGGAAGTCGGGAAGCTTGTCGCGGAGTCCAAAGACCCGTGGGCATAACCCTTTCGAAAAACTTCGATCGTGTCATGCACTATGGAATTATCACCCAGCAAGCGCCCTTTGACATGGACTACCGGGTGCTCTACCTGCGACACAGTTCTCCCTGGCAAGTGGAGATCAAACTTATGTCTGAGCAGATTATTCATATTGGTTTATGCCTACCAAGTGCCTGCAGTTCGGAAGAGGTTAAGAATCTTGCCCAGGACTATGTAGCTGGAGGAATGTTCACCGAAAACGAGATCTTCGACATCCGACCGGAAGTGGTTTACATGAAGGATCTGCAGCTGAAGCAAGAATTCTTCGAAAGGGCCAGCTTCCGGCTGTTGGTGGCCTGTGTCTTGGTCACTGGAGCTCTGATGCTTTGTGCTCAACAACTGACGGCCACCAAAAAGTTGGCGCCGTCATCAGATGAACCCGATCCTGGTCTAGCACCCGCCGAATCGGAGATCTGGCGTGGCCTGAACTCTCTACTCCAAATAGAGAAACTACAGAAATATATACCCTGCTGGGATATCCCCGCAAACTGGGCCAAGATCTTTGCGGTGAGAGAGAATTCTACCAATGAAATTCCTTTGATGAATGGCCTGAGATCTGTTTGTGCCATCTGGATCATGGTGTTCCACGTGGTGTGGTTCATGTACTTCACTGTCCACAACAAGACGGTGCTGATTTCGTATGCAGAACAGGCCTTTTTCCAATACGTTTCCTCGGCCCCTCTGCTCGTGGACGTCTTCTTTACCATCAGGTGGGTGTAAAGATCGTTATAAACTATTTTTGCTCAAAGTCTGTATATTTTTTTTCTCCACCGATTATCATCCTCAGTGGCTTTCTGCAAACGTTCAACTTTTTACGGAACTCTAAGCAATTGGAGGCAGTTCGTCAGAATAGCTTCGGTGACAACCTCAGGCTCTTTGGCAAACTACTATTCCATAGGTATTTGCGACTTGGACCACTTTATCTGGTGGTAATGACAACCGTGGATTTGGTTTATGCTTATATTGGCGATGTCTCGGTTTACCACATCAACGAGCGATTCGATGAGATGTGCTCCCGTCACTGGTGGCGAAATCTTCTGTTCATCCAGAACTTCTTTGACCATCGGGACATGTGTGCTAATTGGAGCTGGTCCTTGGCCTGCGAAATGCAGTTCTTTATCCTGGCTAATGCCCTGCTGTTCCTCTACGTCAAGTAAGCTTCTTAAACATTAATTACATTAATTACATTTATTAATATTCTTTGAAAAACAGATATCCCAAAGTAGTTAAAACCCTGGTGGCATCTTCTTTTGTGGCCACCATTGCCTGGTCCTACAGCATCGGCTTGAGCATCAAGTTTCAGTTGTCCTTTGATTCTGCCTTCGCTACCGGAACAGAGATCTACACTTCACCGTTTGTGAGAGTGCTTCCATATATCCTGGGAGCAGCAACAGCTTGGCTACTTCAGGAGAATCGAATACAGGTGGAAATCAGCGAACCGAAAGAACGTTTCTGTTGGCACTTCGCCTTATTTGTATTCTTCGCCTGCATTTATTCGACTGTGAAACGGGATCTGGGTCCTCTGATGGCCATAACGCTGTTTGTAATGGGCCGCCTATTCTTTTCGCTAAGTGTATGTTGGATGATAGCGAGAAGCTGCGGCGGGCGGGGAGTGTGGTGGTCACGATTGCTGGAGGCCAAGGGTTTCCAACACGTCAGTCGACTTTCCTACGCCATTTACCTCCTCAACCCGCTAGTCATTGCTTTATTCTACAGTTTAACCAATGCCAGCACACATGCAGATCCCTTCATGCTGGTAGGTACCTAACACAATTTAAGAATTTTAAACATTTTAGTTAAATTTGTAATAAACTTCAGTGCGTGGTCACTTGCGGCTTCGCTGTCATCGTCTACCTGGCCTCCATCCTCTTTTCGCTGGCCTTTGAGGTGCCCTTCAGCAATCTATCCAGCTTGCTAAATCGACGACAGAGCAAGCCGAAAACCGCCTAAAGATGCTAGCCCTAAATTAGATCGTTAAGGTCACCGCACACGCCTCCATCTGACAATTGTGATCGCTTTCATGTACAACTACTCATCATTATCGAATCACTAGGCTTAGTCTTATCTTAGTCAATGTTACTTACACTAAACTAAATATCTTGTACATCGGTGGAAACCATACTTAATAAGCTAATCCCATAGCTGTAGTTTTACTCTGATATACGTATTGTATGTACCTAAACACATTATAAAGCCCGAGCATAGAATATAGAATTGTTGACACACAAATATTAATTATTTATTGCAATCATTGTTAATGGAATAATATAATTATAAGGCAGTGGATTTATGGGTCATTTAAATGCAAAAGATTAGTATGCATGCAACTTAAGCTCAAGTCACTTTTTTCATATTTTAAAATGAAATTTAAATTAAAATGAAAAAAAACATAGAAAAATATATTATTTCTTTTCATATTTGTCGAAGTAACCCACGCATTTATCACACTTCTTTAAAAATTCAACACGAGAATTTGGTAGGGATGAGGCGAAATAAAAGCGCACACGTCTCAAGATTTCAGATGATTGCTCTTCAACTTCACTGAAAATCCAGTTTGGATAATGTTTCTTTATAGACAAAAGGATCTGATAAAGTACGGATTCCGTTGAAAAATAATATTTTAGAAGATGGCACATTTCCTTTTTGGTGTTTTCCACGAAAGATTGCGTTAACTCCATAATTATATTAAACATTTCGGGTTCCAAGTGCTCAGCCATGCTGTTTACCAGAATTTCAAAACATTCTGAACTCACAATGTGTTCTTTAAGGTAAGTGCCATATACGTCCATGTTAAAATGTTTTTTCTTGACTGTAATAGTTGAATTTTTTGAATCTAGTGAAAAAGCAAAGGAGTCCTCAGGATCTATTTTTTTTGGTTTTCTCTTTTTCTGGTTGGGCAACTGGAAAATGTCGTCAATCTCATCTTTTGGGGGCACTCCATTAGCACTACGTATAAGACTCACTTCACCACCAATGCGAGCAACTTCCTTGGATACTTTGTCAAAAATTCCTCTAAAAACAATTTATTTCGAATTTGAACCAATACTTTATTTAATACTTCATACTTACCTTTGATGATTAATCAAGATGTTTATGTTTTTTGTGTCCTTCATCATTAACGTCGCCAATTGTAGGTTGTTTACATTATGCGTAAATAAAATCAACGAATCAGAAAGATCACTCGCATCACAAGATTGATGGGCGTCATAAGGGTTCTAATTAAAAAAATTATTAAAGAAATGAGAAAACAGCTTAGACAGTCTTATACACATAATAAGACCTCACCAATACAAAATTAAGCATCCGTTCACAAGCGGTAAATTCAGAAGCTAATTTCGCGGCAAAATCATCCCTTTTTGCTGTGGAACTTTCACGCTTAATGGGTGTTCTGGAGGCGATAGCCAATGACTTAGGCGTTATGGGGCAATTGTCCATCATTTTCGGCAAATAAAGCGACTCAAGCCTAGCCGTGATGGAATACGATTTAAGCTCAACTTGGCCATCTATCATTTTGTAGACTCCACAATATGGGGTCACCATTACACCTTGGCAAAAAGATGACAATTTCAAAAAATTGTTCCAGTTTTCAAAAGAGCGGTGCTGAGTAACATACGCCATGCAACAATCGATGCTGCTGTTTTGGCCAGTTTTGTCTAGTAAAAATTTAGTTCTTAATAATAATTATTTAGTTTATGATTATATTTTATTTACCCACACAACGTCGGCAACGGAAAACTGGATACATATGCCAGGATCTACTTTGCTCGGCCAATTTTAGGTCACTGACATCATCCACAATCATTACAAAAAATAAGGATGTTAGGGACTGGCCATTTGTATATTTGCCTGGTATAAAATATTTAATTAAATAGTAATAATTTTCTTCTTATGTATAGTCTTACTTTGATTCCAAATCCATCTAAACATCTCAGTATGTATAAAACCCCGTGATCCTAGTCCCTCTTTTGGGTCTCCGAAAAGATGAAACTTTCTTCGTAGAACATCTGACTGATTTGGCGACACCCTAAAGAGCTTGATTTCAAGTTTGTCATATTAGAGGTTTTTTAATTACTTACAGGTCCCAAGTTATATCTTCCCCATGACTTAAGAGCTCGGCAAACTTTTGCTGCACTTCTCTGACCGTGGGAACCAACATTTCTTCATCTTTTGAACTGCTCATTGTTATTCGTTGTTGTTTTCGCCAATGCTCTTGTTGCACATTGCAGATGGAAGTTGCAACTGAATGCGTTTATCGATAGTAAATGTTTTCAAAAGGTATTCATTACATTAACAGATATCAATTAATCACGGTAACGGTTGTTACTGTTTTGAATTGAATTAAATTTAAAAAAGACCTCTTGATTTTCCTTATCAAAGAGCTTTTTAATAACTGTTTGCTTTGTTATGGTCACCCAAATATCGAGTAAACACCGATTACTCTCTCTCTCTTTCGTCTCACATTTATTAACAGAGGCGTGGGCAAGGGGGCCTTTTATTTCATTGGACCGAATAAATTCTTGAAAATGTTTTTTATAAGCAGAATATATATAAAATATTTATTTACCATTGATTTTTAACAATTTTTTAAAATATATATATATATATATAGTATTTTTAAGAAATGATTGCCATTTCATTGCGAAATCTTCTAAGAGAACTTCTTTTGTAGGTAATGAAATATTATATCCCATAATCAAGTTTTAATATGGCTTTATCAAACATCACATAGAGAATTTCCTATAAATTCTTTGGAAGATTTAGGTAACAATATTTAATATCATCCTTTTTAAACAGGCACCTCACGATAGTAACCAATACATTTGGTGCATTTAGTTAGAAATTCTGGTGGAGAATTTGGACTAGTCGAAGCCAAAAAATATTGCATGCGACTTAGAATATCAGAGGAATTATTTTTGATATTAATATAGTCCAAATTGGAGTGCTGTTTCATTATATACAACAGAAACTGATATAGAACGGTTTCTGTGGATAGACTGTGATTTCGCTCGAGCAACAGTTTTTTTCTTGTAGTTTCCATAAAAGTTTGGGTAAACTGAAGAATTAGTCTAAACATTTCGGGTGTCAAGTGTTCAGCCATAATAGTGATTATATCGTTAAAGTTTTCCTGATTTAGAATGTTTTCTTTTACAGTTGTTCCATAATCTTCAAGATTAATTTTATCTCCTTTGATTAGGATTATGGGAATGGTAACATTCACTTCTTTTGGTTCTTTTTTCTCAAGCCCTTTTGAACCGGCTTTAAAAATCTCGCCGAGGTGATCTAAATAAGGGAGTTCACTGGCACCCCGTACAAGATCAACTACTCCCTTGAAACTTTTGGCTTCCTCAGAGAGCTTGTCGAAAACGCTTCTGAAAATGGTTAAAGGTTAGGTAATGGTACACTTTACGTTAGAAACTTACTTAAGTTGATTTCCCAAAAGGCTTCGGCAATTTTGTTCCTTGATCATAGCCGATGCAAGATCTAAGTTTTTCACGCTCTGCGTGAATAAAACTAAGGAATCGGAAAGAGGGCTAACATCTGTTAATCGTTTTCCATCTCGAGGAACCTATTTAAGGCAACCAGTAACATAAATTATTAGGACACGCTTATTGAAATCGCTTACCAAAAGCTGATGTAGTATCTGGTCGGACATCTTTTCTGTTTTTTTAAATTTACAGAAAAATGGTATTTTTAAGTCCTGACTGAGGTGGACAATAGAATTTTTAGAAGTTTTCGCCAGAATCTCGGGTGTTACGCAGAGATTTGTGGAAAATTGATTTCTCAATGGGTTATTGAACCCACCAGTAATATAATATGTTCCTAGCTCAACCTGACCATCAATTAGTCTGTAGACTCCACGTTGCGGGGTTACCATGAACCCAGGAGGCAAATGCGAATCTTTCAGAAATTTATCCCAATCCTCACAACAGTCATACTGATTCACGTAAACCATGCAGCACTCCAAACTGCTATTGTTTTCACCATGATTGTCTTTAAAAAAATGTTAGAAGTTCAAAATATAAACCTATCTTGTGAATTACAGGAATCTAAGATTTTTCTAAAATTTTTTCATTAGTTAGTGAAACAACTTTACCCACGCATCGCCGGCAACGGAAAACCGGATGAAGGACCCAGGATCTGCTTTGCTCGGCCAGTTTTGAGTCGGTGACGTTATCCACAATCATCACAAAAAACAAGGATGTTAGGGACTGGCCATTTGTAAATTTTCCTAGTGGAAAAATTTGGGTCTAGTGGAAGCTCATTAGAAAAATCTCCTCATTTTCTTACGTTGTTTCCAGATCAAATCAAAAAGCGAGGACGTAAAATAAGACTTCACACGATTCAAATGTAAAGCTCTTAGCTTGCGTTTTAGTATTTCTCCCTGACTGGCGAGTAATCTAGTTTCATTCTGTTATAACTTTTGACACTTAAACTTTCCGAATTACTTACAGATCCCAGGTTACATCTTCACCATGGCTTAGTACTTCGGCGAACACCTGCTGAACCTCCCTGACCGTGGGAGCTAAGAAATCTTCATTATCTTCTGATTGGTTCATGGATGCGCTTATCGCTCCAACCTCTTCTTTGTTCTGCAATTTGTGCATCTTTGTTTTGCATTGCAGATGGAAGTTTCAACGAAACTGATTTATCGATAGCTGTTTTAGATTATTGATGCATTAATATTTATTGTAATGGTTTGATAACTAATGCCTAATTCAAAAACTTAAAATTTCTTATCAGATTGCTTTTGATAACAGAAGTTTTCACTGAGTGTATCAAAAAACTATCGAGAGTAGACAGATTTTTTTCTTCCATCTCTATATACCCGGAAAAAGTTAAGAAGCGAAGCAGGAGGGAATTTTCTTTTAAAAGATTTTTATTATTTTATACATTTACATATTTATACGGATAATTTACAGTTGAATTGTTTATTAAGACACTACTATTCTCATCTCATTTCCCATTTTATCTCATGTAAGGTATACACCATTTTCATTGGGCAGAAAGATCTATTTTGGAAATGTGGTAGTAACCCACACATTTTCTGCACTTCTTTAAAAGTTCTGGTGGGGAATTGGGATTATACGAGACAAAGCGGGCTTTGATATGTCCCAAAATATACGAAGATTGCTCTTTAACTTCATTGGGATCCAAGTTTGAAAAATCTTCCAATACGATCCGAATGACTTGATAGAGAACTATATCCGTGGATATATGGTATTTCAGTAGTTGCCACAACTCCTCCCTTGTACTTTCCATAAAGGATTGGGTAAGCTGCAGAATAAGCTGGATCATTTCTGGTTTCAGGTGTTTGGTCATGACGGTAATCAAGATTTCAATATTCTCTTGGTTCTCAATGTTATTTCTTAAAGCGCTCCCTAAGTCTTCTACCTTAATTGTGTTCTTTTCCACTGAGAAACATCTATTATATTGTTTCCTTAATTTTCTATGGAAAAACAAATAAAGATCGTTTTTTGTCGGCACTTCATTTGCACTGCGTATAAGATCTACTTTTCCCTCAATTCGATTTGTCTTCCAGAAAATCGTGTCAAAAACTCTTCTAAAAAGAACAAAAATTAAATGAATAGTAAATACTTTCTTCAAACTTACTTAAGATAATTTCCCAACACGACCGAACTATTTTGATCTTTAATCATTAACGATGACAGGCGAGAGTTATTGATACCGTGTGTAAATAGAGTTAGTGAATCGGATAGATTTTCTGCCTCAATCACTGATTTTCTATGACCAGAAACCTATTTAAGAAAACGTATTATAGAAAAAAAAATAATGCAGTGTGTAGTATCCCGTACCAATAATTGATAGAGTACGCTATCGTACAGTTTTCCTCCCAACTGCACCCTGTAAAGTCCAAAAAAGCCGTCGTATTTTAAGTTGGTAATGCTTTCTGTGGGACGTATTAAGGCTTCTTGTACATCTTCGGCCGATATGCAGCGATCCCTACTTAACATTTTGGTTCGTAGGCGTCCTGGGATGCAATAGGCATTAAGCTCCACCTCTCCATCAATTAGCTTATAGACCCCGCGATTAGGAGTCACCATTAACCCGGGACGTAACCGCGAATTTTGCACGAAGTTATCCCAACCCTCGATAGAGTCATATTGATTCACATACACCATACAGCATTCCAGACTGGAGTTGTTTTGGCCGGTATTATTCTCTGAAATATATTGTGATTTATTTAAAAGTTATTATCAACGATTCATTTATTACCCACACAACGCCGACATCGAAATACAGGGTAAAGATACCATGATCTGCTTTGTTCAGCCAGTTTTGGATCAGTAACATTTTCGACAATCATCACAAAAAATAGAGACGTAAGAGACTGGCCATTTGTATATTTTCCTGTTAATAAAACATTTTAATAACAACTCTGACGTGGAAACTAGGACCTTACTGTAATACCAAATCGAATCGAACAGGTCACCGTTCACTAAACGCATACTATTGGGATCGTCAATTTGGGCCTTAAACTCGTTGACTTTGTTTTTCAGGATGTCTCCCTGATTTGCCGACAACCTGTCTATTAAGCGTTGAAGGTTTTGAGGTGCATATATATTAAATGTACTCCTTACAGATCCCAGGTTATATCTTCGTCATGGCTTAAGAGTTCGGCAAACATTTGCTGCACTTCCCTGACTGTGGGAACTAAAAATTCCGCACTTTCATTTAATTCGCTCATTTTTGCACAAATTTCTTTGTTGTCGTATCTGTTGCACTTTGCAGATGGAAGTTGCAATACTGTGCAACAATCGATAGGTTGATAAATTTAAACATTTACAAAAGATGCCCTGTTTCAGTTATAGTAACGGTTTTCCATGCACTTAACTGTTTATCAATACAGAAATTATTTTTAAAATTTCTAATCGGAAAGCCTTTTAATAACTGTTTGTAATTTTATGGTAACCCAATTTATCGCTTAGATATCGATATTTTTCTGCCATCTAGTGAAACTGGCTCTCTGTTTTTGTTAACAGAGCAGGGGCGTTAGAAAAGGGGACTTTCGACCTTAAGCTCACCGTTTATTTTTGGGTTACACTTCACGAAAGACTACTGTAAATTTTCAAAAACTTAATGATTTAATGTTACTTAATATAATAATACCCCACACATTTGGAACACTTTATTAAAAGTTCTGGGAAAGTATTCGGACTAGCCGAGGCGAAATAATATCGAACACGACTCAAAATATCGGAGGATTGCTTATTAACTTCATTATAATCCATGTTTGGGTGGTGTTTCATTACGCACAATATTATTTGATATAAAACAGTTTCCGTAGAGAAATGGTATTTCAGAAGCTGCCACAACTCCTCCCTGGTTTTTTCCAAAAAAGTTTGAGTAAGCTGCAGAATGAGCTTAAACATTTCGGGTTCAAAATGCTCAACCATGTTTTTTATAAGATCTTCAAAGCTTTCGGAGCATAAAATATTTTCAATTAGAGCGGTTCCGTAATTTTCCAGGTTAACTTCTTCCCCTTCGACTTGGATTTTCTTAATTTGCAGTAAATCCACAGGAACTTCACTGTATATCTCATTTATCATAAGTTTCTTACGATGTATCCTGGTTTTGAAGAGCTCATTCAAATCTATTTCCGTGGGCACTTCGTTGGCGCTGCGTATAAGATCAACTTTTCCTTTGATACGCCTGGTTTCCCCAGATATCTTGTCAAAAACCAATCTGAAAAGTACAAATAATTATAAATGGAATAAAACTTCTAGCATGGTTACTTTAGCCGTTTGCTCAGAATACTGTGATAAGATTGTTCCTTAATCATTGACGATGCCAGGCGGAAATTATTTACACTGTGCGTAAATAAGGCCAAAGAATCAGAAAGCTCAGTTGCATCAGACATTTCATATGCACCACGAGGGTTCTGTTTAAATAAAAATAATTATTTATATAATAAACAATTTTAAAGAACTTTTACCAATAGCTGATAGAGTATCCTATCGTACATGTTTGTTTGAACTCCAGTGGCATATTGAGATAACATTTCGGGCGATATGGAGTGACATTCGCCATGAACCCCTCCCTTGACAAAATACGTTTTAAGCTCAACCTGTCCGTTGACCAGCTTGTAGACACCGCGATTTGGGGTCACCATTAATCCGGGATGCAATCGCGTATTTTCCACAAACTTATCCCAACCCTCAATAGAATCATATTGACTCACATACACCATACAGCAATCCAGGCTGGTGTTGTTTTGGCCGCTGTTATCTTCTAAAATACATATTGATTTACTTGGAAATGTTACGTTATGATTAAAATAAATTTATTACCAACGCATCGCCGACAACGGAATACAGGATAAAGATACCAAGATCTACTTTGCTCAACTATGTTTGGATCGCTGAAATCATCCACAATCATCACAAAAAATAGGGACGTTAGAGACTGTCCATTTGTGAATTTTCCTGTTGGAAAACTTGTGTTTACGAATATACTTCTTAGTGAAAAATATTATCTTACTTTGGCTCCAAATAGAAGTAAACATATCAAATATATGCATATAACTTTTTGAACATGTTTTGCCCTTAAACTCGTCTACTTTAGTTCTTAAAATGGCCCCCTGATTTGCGGACAACCTGTTGACTCAAAGTTTGTAGTAATCCATTTAAGACTCAGATGTTTTAACTCACAGATCCCATGTTATATCTTCACCATGGCTTAAGAGTTCGGCCAACATTTGATGCACTTCCCTGACTGTAGGAACTTCTATTTCTTTATTTACGTTTAATTCGCTCATTTTTGCCACTTTTATTTGTTTTGCAGCTGTTCTCTTCCTATTGCAGTTTCCGATTGCAATTATCGATTGAAATTTTTTACTATACAAATGTAATTGTTTAATGTAGTATTCAAAAGAAATGAGCTTTTTAACGACTAACTAATTTAAATGAGAATATATTGGCATTTCTAATAACAATCTAATATGATAGGCTATCGATATATAGCGCAAGCTACACAACTATCGCAAGCAACAAGAACGAAATTTTTTCTAATCAAACCAAAGTATTTAAAACAAAATTTTAAATTGTATTTAATTTATATTTTTTATTAACTATTGGACTCTAATTTCAATTGATGTTAATAAATAATTTAATTAAGGTGAATAATTGCTAGTAGAACAAACATCTCTAGTCAGAAATATTTAAAGATATTTTAATGACTATTGAATATCGCAAACAAGTAAACAGAAAAACTATAATATTTGTAATTTTATAATGTCACTTCGATCGATATGGTGAGCCTTGTATACATTTTTTATATAGCCGCCCTAATGGTCACCCCAAATATCAATTGTGTATCGATATTGAAGTTCCATCTCTAGGCAAGAGAGAGAGCGGGGTCTCTCGCTTCTCTGTTAACTTTCAGTGGCGTGCAATAGTGGTTTTCATAGGGACCAATAAAATAATAAAACATATAGGTATATAATAATTGCTATTTCTTCTGAATAATTCAATTTTGGTATAGAAAAAAACAACTTTTCAATCCATCAATAATATAAGATTTTTAAATCTAATCCAGTATCGACCTCTTGAAACAATTTTCCTACGCCCTTGTATAAGCTAACAGTGGTTTTGCCGCAATAACAGCTGCAAAGAAAAGAGCGTAACATCAGGAGAGAAAATTCAAAGAATACGGCATTAAAAAGAAGAGGTAAAACGTTCGTTTTCTCAGTTCCAAGCGAGCAAACAATTTAGCACCCTCTTTTCATTCCCAGTTGGAATTATTAATAATTATATATATTTAACAAAGGATTAACTGTTGGGCACAAATATCTAGCAAAAGTACGTCCTTAAATTTCAAAAACGGTTAAAATTATGACTTGGTAATAAAAGAAAGGAAGCCGCGCGGTAAATTTGTTCGATGAGTAGCGGCGGTTTTTCTCCTTTTTTTAAGTTATTCCTTAAAAAAAGTACGCATAAACAATAATACTCAAAAAAAAACAACATAAAACAAATACAAAGTGATTTAAAGTGAGTTTAAAAGCCTGAAAAGAGCAGCGAAAAAAGAGGAAATCCAGGCCCAGCATCCTTCAGCCTGCTTCTTCTTCTTCATCTTCTTTTGCATTCCTTCTCGTCGCGTGTGTATTACTGTGTGCGAGTGTGTGCATGAAAAATGTGTTTAATAAATTTATATTCCAGCTGCCAACAACAAATTAATGCCAAAAATATATGAAAATTCGCCATTGAATGCGAGAGTGTGTTAAATTAGCACTCCCCGATTGCTCTCTCGCTGGCACCAACTCTGTTTTTTAACTGTTACCTAAAAATATGGGTGTGTGTTGGTGTGCGTGTGTGTTTCTTATGGAAATTAATTAAAAAACGCACCTCAGTTGCCCCCTCTCGTTCTGTTAAGTAAAAAGGATCAAAATTGGAGGCAAATGAGGAGGCAGCAAGAAAACCAACAACAAGAAGGTGAATAAAATCATAAAAATCATAAAATGTAAGATATTAATTAAGACAGCAGCGTGTTTTTTTTTTATCTCTTTTGTCCTTTGAGGGTTATTGTCGTCTTTCTTATCAGCATCATTGAAGAGCAGCGTTTTTGTTGTTGCGGGGGCGAGCATTGCTCTCTCGCTCGCTCTTTCCATGTGTGCGGATATTGTGTTTTTTTTTTACATATCTTTTCTTTCGCTCTTTTCGTCGCCTTTAACTTGGCCAGCGGTTTTGTTGCTTTTGTTTCTGGTCGCATGTATGCTCTTCTTTTATTTTTGCCTTTTTCCAACAACAATAAGTGTCTTCAGTTTTTTAGCATGTCGCTGTCGCTGAGGACTGACCTTGAACAAGTTCAGGCACAGTGTCACGCGTGCCTGTTTGTCTGATTGCCATTTTGCTCCTCGGCTCGATATCCTCTTTTTAAGCGCCTTGTCCTTGGCTTGTCCCACTGTGCCGCCTCGCCCCGTCTACCACTTCATAGCTCTCCTTCTTGCTCACTCCCGCCTAAATGTTTGCTCAAGATTGCGAGAGTGTTTACTCAATCACTTACAGTGGAAACCTTCGCTAAATTGGTTTTATACAGTTCAATAGACATTCCCTTTATATCATTTTCATTCGATAAAGTAGACAGAAGTCTTAGTTACCCACCCAAAAGTATTTTTATTTTGTTGTAAAATAAATTTATATATTTTTGTATCATTTCAAATAATAATTTTCTGAAGTTCTATTCGATAAGAATTACAATAATGTGTTTTGTATTTTTGTTTCCATTTACTGATAAAAACTTACTTCAAGCTGGAATTTATTTATAAACTTATGAAACAAACAAATTTATTACAAAGTGATTGCTCTTGTGCCTTCAGCAACTACAGAAATATACATGATTTATTATTTTTCTGTAAAACTTAATTACTTAGTTAAAATATTATATAATATAAGTTCATATTGTGTTTAAGAAGCTTTTATATAAATATTCACCATTAAGAACTATAGATATTACAAAGCTGTATTTAATTAGTTGTCAAGTCTTTAGTTTGAAGTCCATTGTTTGTTGTGTCGCTCTAAATTTCCAATCACATGCTCGCTTGTCAAAGCTCTGAATTTTAATTGCGGCAGCTTCCGCGTGAAGCTCTCGCTCTCTTTTCTCATTGTATCCATCTCCCTCGATCACCTGTCTCTGTCATATGAATTTTTAAAATTTTTTCCAGTGGCCTTTCAGAACATTGTCTTCGCTTTGTTTGTTTGTTTATTTGCGTTATTCGCTGCCGTTGTCGCTACTTTGCGCCCACTTGCGCCTTCTGGCCCACTGATAACTGACGGTGCGAAGCGTTAGACGGCTCGCGGTGTTACTTTTATTGGTCCGTACAGTGACCCCGAGATTCTCCGCCGACGTCACCTCAACGTCAGCGGTTTTAAGCTTTTTGCTTTCTCTTTTACTCCCTCTCACCGCTCAACACCCGCCTCCGTCGAATATTCGATATGTACGAATTGAGTTTAATTACTAAACACTTCAGTTCCAGTGGTTTTGGGAATATATATTTTTAAATCGTATATTAGTAATCTTGCGATATAACCATGTCTCACTCTCTTCTGTAAAAAAATGTATTATTACAATAATGATTCGTTTTTACCATTGATAGTATGTGGTAATTTTTCTTATACTTTGTGTTTGCTTAATACTATTCTAAGTCTTATCTACTAACACTTGGCAGTAATATTGCTTTTATTATCTGAGACCCTCATCTGACAGTTTCATTTTCAAGGCAGCAATAATTTGAAATGCTTTTTTTATTCTTTTCCGTCTAGCACTGATTATTTTGATGTAAAAATAGTAAATTAACAATTTATATACTCATATACTTTAAAACACGATTCTTTGCGTATGGGAATATAATGAAAATGTTTTTCGCAAATTGAAAGATAAAGATGTTGTACCTCATTACACATATTTGCTCAAGTGGGAAAAATTCTATAAATATGGCAAGTATTTGGTATTTATTGGCCGTGTGAATGGATAAAATCCAGACACATGTGGAAAATTTCGCACTGGAGCGAACTTTAACAAAATTCTAGTTTTAATTGATGGTTAAAACGTAGATATTTACGTTGCCCCCTAGTGCCAGGAATGGTTTCTGTTTACTTTAAAATCAGCTGTGTGTGCAATTCCCTAAGCAGCAACAAAAAGTTGCACTGTTCGTACTTGTGAATTTCCATGTAATTTTTACCAGCAATAAATTTGCATAAATGCAAAATTGCATCGAAAAGATAACGAGGAATATGAATGCAGAAGCAAGAAAACTGAGTCATCACACGAGCATTTCGATTGTATTCTTCGGCAAGGCGTCGCCCAAATTCTTGTGGCTTTGAGCATTTTCGATATATATACCTAATACAAAATATATTGTGTTTTGTTCGATCGAGTCCATTGTCCCAAATAAGTTCTGAGAGTGCGTGCAAAAAACCCGTTTTGCCCAGGAGGGCTTCGCAAACTGGACTTTGGCCCGCTGGCCTGTGAAAATGTAAACAAAAGGCGCGTAATTAAATTTTCATACGCAGCTAAGGAATATGTATTCATAAATTATTTAGCGTGCAAGAGAGTAAGCAACCCTGTAGGAAGACCATAAAAGTAGGCACGACTTTAGCTTGGGCGTGTCACCCCTTCTTGTATTTTGCATTTTTATTTCCTTCTTTCACGGACTAACTACTAACAAAAACCTTTCCCCGCTGGCTTTTTAATTGCCAATTTGCGGGGTCCGCTGGTCTGTCACTCAGTCTGTTGTGTCCTTCAATCAGACTGAATGCATTTGTCGCCGCCCTGTCGTCTTTCCCCCCTCAGGATTCTTCCCCACTCCTTGTGATCCCTCTTCTGGGGTTATGAGTAATAGCCTGCACTTTATGTGGCAACGGGAAACTCCGCCAGCCATGTCCTGAATAATGTCCACAAGCAACTATGTATTTTCTACGGCCGCCGGCTGCAGTGGATGAGTTAATTATGGCTTTGTGGTTGTGCACTGCGAGAAATTACCCTTAATTTCCATATAATATCACTTTACAATAATATAATTCAGATATTGTGTGTTTTGGACATCGAAAAAACTAGTATGATTAATTTTCTAAAATTGCTATGAGTTTACGAAGATCATAGAAAAGTGTTGATTATGGCTGAAATTTCGCCAAAAAAGGATTCACAAATTTAAAATAAAAATTGTATTGCTCATATATGTACTAAATACATATATACATACAGACATAAAAAGTACTATTTCACTTTATATAATTAAAGATGCCGTCTTGAGTTGGCGAGGGATACAATTGCTTCATTTGACTGAAAATCAAGTTTATTATAGCCACTTGTCTGGCTTGCCAAATGACTGGGAGTAGTTTCTACGAGTGCAGGCCAACGCCCAACATCCTAGCCACGGGAATTGGGCAAGACGTTGGGATCGTAAATCCAAAGAAGGAGGCGGATAAACCATCGGAGGCTCGGGCAGATTGCATCCGCATCCGTTGACTGCGAGGTCGAATGCACATGGCATTCTACAAGCTCGACTCGGTTGCAGTTGTATTCGCCTAAATATCTGTCTGGCATCGTTATTTAGCATTGCCCTGCAATTTGTTAGCCCACGTGAGGGTGCGTGCTGTCGTGTGTGGAAATGGAAATGAAAATGGGAAAAGTTTGCAGCAAAGCCTACATATGTATGTGAATGCAGTTTCACTCACAAACCGCACCGCAAAATGTTGTTGTCGGCAGGGAAAAACTCCCTCAGCATGTTGTAATTGCGGCATGTTAGCAGCAGAAAACTCGTCTGGGTTTTCCTAAGCCTCCCTCTATGTTTTCTCTCTTTTTTTTTTTTTTTTTTTTTCTGGCAGTCTGCGAAACTCCTTCAAGCCGCTGACTCACATTTTTCGACATCTGGGACAGGGCGAATTTTCCGTGGCTCTCAGCATGATGCATGCACTCAGAAAATCGATTTCAAACGACAATTAAAAACTTTCAATATATGTCGTGACATGAATAATTGCTTAATTACAGCTTAACAAATTGTAATCAATATTTTGTTAACTAATTACCAAAAGACATGATATGTGTTTAGTTTTGATTTGAAAAATGAACTTAGAACCATAGATAGCATTGAAATCTCAGAAAAAGAAATACTATATATCTGAGATTCATAAATGCATTCACCCAATTTAAGTTTAAATTGATATTTAACCTGTCAGACCTCCGACCACTTATTCTGATTAAACAGAAATTTGTTTTGATTTTCAAATTGATTGATTCCAACTGATTTTCTCGGAGTGTGCGAGTCTGCATATGGCATGTGTACATAATCTGTATGTTTGTGAAAACATACAGATGGCTACATTTGTGAGCCATCCACATATGAGAAACATTTGTCTGGCCGACGGCGGGGGTTTAATGTTTAATGCTTGAGCTCTTGACTCCCATTTGACGATGGCGACAGGATGCCAAGTGGTGAATGCAACGCTCTCTGGGCTCTGAAGATGTCTTCAGATTACAGTGACACATATACCATATCCAGCTGGGTCCATTTCCATGCCTCAGTTTTCGAGAAGTCGCCTCACTTTTGGTGCTGCGAATCAATTTAAGACAAATTCCAAGCAATTAAAGATTTTCGCTTTTATTTAAATGAGTTTTGTTTAGTCAGAATATGTATATGAACTTAATTAATTTAACTTAATTTGCTACAAACACTTCGAAAGCTGTTGCAAGGGGTTACATTCCAAGGGGATTTAAATAACATTCCGAATTTATGGGCGTCTAATGGGGAAATATATATAATAAATGGCTTATCTACTATTTAGACTATATATAATATTATTTCTGAATGGGTATATATATATCTTTATTAAACGTAAACACTTTTTAATCATTCAGAGTTAACGTGACTTGCGCCGCAATTACCAACGCCAAAAACCGGTTTTAGAGTTATCCACACCTAAAGCTGTTTTTTCCGCTTAAAAATGATTTTTACCATTTCAGTAGAACCTCACTTACGCAATTTCCACACTTTCAATTGTCTAACTCTTGGCTGCTGATGGATACTAGTGCGTAAATCTAACTTTCTATTTAAGGCAACTCCAACAGACAACTTCAACTGCAATTTTCTGCACTTATTGTTAGAGCCGGTTGTTTGTTTTGCAATATTTTTAAGTAGTTTCTTTTTTGCTAATTACCAGTCCAGACTAAGTGCTCGCATTGTAGCGAGTCGGCCTGTGAAGGCCTTCCACATGTTGTATTTATTTGGTTTGGTATACATAAATATTGTACTCCCGATTGATGGCAATTGCCACAAAGCAGTGCTTGCTGCACGTGAAAGTTGCATTGTATACAAGTGAGGGACAACCTGACAGGCATTCAAAGTGTTTTTGGGCAGTAGCCAAGTTTTTGCAGTGCCAACCTGCTGCCATTCAATGAAAGCCTCCCATCCTCCCTCTGAGGGGAAAATGCTGCCGCCGGCGGGTAACTAATCAAAAGACCGATACGATACCAGATAAACAATAGAAGACGCCTGGGCCTGGGCCGAACTGCAGGCGAATATCTATTGTCACTCTGCTGGTGTAGTTTTTTCTCTATGCTCCCTTCTCCCTCCCCCCTTTTTAGACCACCATAAAATTTAACCTTCGACTTGAAAAAGTTATTTGGCGTTGCTGCTGGCATTTTATCGACTGCAAAATGCCAACCTTTGGCAGACGTCCCAACCCCACAGCCCATTTGTGTGTGAAACCAACTCGTTGGCTCGAAAGTCTAGGCTTATTTTTGTAAAGTTCACGAGAGGTTTTAATGGCAACAAAGGTAAGGTATGTGGGAGAAGTTGGCTCGATTTCAGTAGGTGCAGGGAGTTATCTTTTTATAACCTTTGTATCAACGTCAAACATTTGCTGGGCAATCAGCAGGGTGTGCTTAAGCATATCGAATGATAATTATTGTACAATGTTGTTAATAGATATAAATAATAACTCGCTATCTATATCACATATACACATTACACGTAGCTGCTCGATGATTAGGGTCAAAGGGTAGTGAAGCAATTTCTTAATTGAATTCATATCATGCTCTGACGGGGGGCACTTCATGCAGGTCAGTCAATTAATTTATGAAGAAGACATTCCTCAGCGTTTACCCGGGTGACCATCAGATAATTATCTTCGTTATTAATTGCTCGGTGTTAGTTAAACAAAATTGAAGAAAAAGTAATTCATTTTTGATCAATAATAGTTTGCCATATACGAATATAATAAACTTTTTCAATTTAAATACAAGTAATAAATGTATTATTATGAATACAAACATTTTTAATATCCTTAACAAGTTGAATGTCGTGACTGTTGGCAGTCAATTTCTGCTGAAACCACCCTCGAAGTCAGAACTGCAACAAAACTTCATTTTGCAGTGCTGCAGTCTGGCCTTGGTTGTGGGCCTAAGCCAGCTTGCAGTTCGTTTTTGGCCAGGTTAGCTGGTACCGCACCAAACAGAGTTGGCAAAGGTCAAACGTTCGTTCGTTCGTAATTAGTTTTTGCATATCTTGAGGCCGTCGCATCCGGCTGTTATACCTTTAACTTCCTTTCAATTGGGCCAGATCTGGGTTTTTGTGGTTGGCGTGGCTAAGGACATGGCAACCTTTGCGTGCTACCAATAGCCATTAACAACCATCCAGTTGGTCTCTTTTTAACCATTAACTATGTCTATAGAGAAATATTGACTTCGGCTGGGAATTTACATAAATATAAAAATTTTATAGAGTTTTGCGTGTGGAACGTTCCAACGTTCCGGCCTCAAATTTGTTACGCTTTCCTTGGTAATAAAGAAATAGAGAATATAACTACAGATATAGGTTGGAATAGAGGTACAATCTGTTATTAAATAACTAATCTTATCGAAAGCTAGCTGACTATCTAATCAAAAGTATTTCCAGACTTTGCTAAATAAGAGCCCTTGGGAGAGCTTCAACTCCAGATAATCAGCTGAGTGCAACGAAGTCTTTTGTATACTATTTTAATATTCCACGGATCCAGGGGTATATTGTATTTCAATTACACTTTAAATCATGTGCACACTTTATGGGCATACGTGACCGCAGACTGACTTTTTTGGTCGCAGTCTCAAGAGCTCCTCCTTCTTCATGCTGGCGCACTATCTCCGGACATGTGCATGAGTGCGTTTTCCGGTTGCCTTCAAAAATATCAAAAATATACGTACTCTGAAGAGAGAAAAACAAAATATAAGTAAAAAAACAAGAAAAGTTCAAGTAACTACTTACGAGATTTGTAGAATGTTAAAAAACATTTTAGTTTATCTATTATTGATTGAATATGATTGATGAGTTTCTTATAAACGAAGTCATTTACCTATACGTCCATTTTGTGTGCAAAAAGTAATTTAAGGTTTAAACTTATCGTTTATTGAAGACCCCGATTAGATTATTTTAGCTTATCTTTGGAACCTTATTTAATTTATATTTTGCAAAACCAAAAGACAGATTGAGGATAAGCTTGCATTGTTCTTCATTCACTGCATAGGATTTTTATTTGAGAAGATAATATAAATATTATTCGAGAAATTGTGACTCACATTTAAGATCTCACTTTTCCTCGTAAAAAGATTATAACTAAGATATAATTATCACTTCATTAGTTCCCAAAATCACTAATTAGGTAATCACAAATTCCCTTCCGTTGTTTGATAAGCGTTAATAGGGGTATTAAAAAATATTCCTTAGCTCAATTGATACTTGATACAGCCCTATCTACAAATGATAACGACCAAATAGCCACCGACTTTTATAGCACAACCAGTTAATATGTTTGTACTGCCAGATTTTTAGTCATGGGACGTCATCGATTTCGTTGTCAGTAGTGGTATAATTCACAAAAAGTTGTGCCTCAGTTCGAGGAATTCCTTTATCAATATTGACCAGGCAATCAAGAGCGTGGCCGATAAATCAATAATTTCAACTTATCTTTAAACATTTTCACTTTCGATTAGGGGGAGTAAGAGAAAAGTGGTTGGGCGCACATTCAGTAGAAATTTGGAAGTCCCGGGGAATCCATCAGGTGTTGGTTCGTTTTGAATGAATTATGGCAGATGCGTTTTATTGGCATCGATAGTGGGGAATGCATGACGTCAGTTCAGTGAACTTGTCTCGAGTGCTTCTTCAATTAATTCATGTGCGACCTGTTGACACCTGCTGCTGGTCATTTAGAAAATTGGTCACATGTCATGCCACAGCCAATTGGCCTAATGCTTTGGGTCATTATCGCATTGGCGATAAGCTGGCCTTAAGTGGACATTCAGTGAGCGATTACCAACTAACTGTTTTCTTTACCTTTTTGCCGTTGCAGACACTTGGACCTGGAGTTAAATGGCCAAGGCACGCAGAAAACGCTTCCGTCTGAGGTGTCCGGATATAGAGTTAGATCCAATTACAAGCCGCTAGGATGGATAAGCGATCGTTGTGCCTGCTGCTCATCTGCATTAATTTGTGCCTGGTCATTTGGCTGGTCAGTGTGCAGCAGTCGCCGATGCTGGAAGCGGAAATCATCACTGATTCCAGCGGAAGTGGCAGCAGCAGCGGCAGTGGCAGCATCAGTAGCACACCACAGCCGCCAAATAGTGCCAATGGATTGCGGAGGAGCAGGAGCAAACCAAACCAAATATACCAGCCTAGTCGCACTCCTAGTAATAACGATAGTAGTAGCCTAGTTAGCAACACATTCGATAACCACCTGGGAACGCCCCCATCTCTGGCGTCACAAACACCCTCCCCCCCTGGGAGCAGTATGCACCTTATGGACCTGCCCAATTTCGTCTATCTGATAGATCAGCCCGCCTGTGATAAGGATGTTCGGGTACTGATATTGGTCCATTCGGCCGTTAAGAATGTTGAAAAGCGGCGACTCATCCGAGAGACGTGGGCAAATCGAAGCTATATTGACCAGACGCCACTGAGGGTTATCTTCTTGGTGGGCGGTGTGGGTCCGAATTCCGAAGAATGGCAGCAATTTTTGGGACGCGAGAACCACATGCACGGCGATCTCATCCAGGGCAACTTTCGGGATGCCTATCGCAACATGACCTACAAGCATGTGATGGCCCTCAAGTGGTTCAACGAGAAGTGTGAGCATGCCCAGCTGTTGGTGAAAGTGGACGACGATGTGTTCATGAACACGCCGCAGCTGGTCAAATACTTGGCGACTCCTGATTTGCCAGAGAATTCGATGCTCCAAGATCCGGATCTCATGCTCTGCCGAGTCGTCCGTCACTCGAGGGTCAAGCGTTCGTATCGGGTAAGTTTTTCCTATGATATATTTTTTTCTTTTTCATTGGAAGAGCTTATAAAATAATGCAATTAAAAACTAATTAACATCAAACCTAATAAAGTAATTTGCCACGAGAATGATTACAGACAAAATATAATTCGAGCTATCTTATCAGACATTATTGACTGATAGTGTAAACCCTCTTGTAACTGTCAAGTTAATAACCGAAATTAATTTGTTTTGCAGTCCAAATGGCGGGTGACCTACAAGGAGTACCCACATCGGTTCTATCCGGAATACTGCCCAGGGATGGCCATTGTCTATGGACCGGACGTAGTGCGGCGGCTTTACGAGGCGGCTCAAAAATCCAAATACTTTTGGGTGGACGATGTCCTGATAACGGGCATTCTGGCCGAGGAGACGGCCAGCAAGATCACACCAATGAAATATTACCTCGAGTCGAAGGACGTTTATAATCTGCTTAATGGAGATGCTGATCTTGAGGATCCACCGTTTCTTTTCACAAATCATGCCATTAAACCGGACGAGAGCATGGCCATTTGGCAGATGGCGCTGGACCGAATCCAGAGGCCACTACTCACCCATCCCGCCTACTCATCCCCATCCGCCGCTTCCAAATCCGCACAGATAGTGCCAAGTGCGATAATTTCCGAGGCGGCCCAGACGAGCTCCACCGCCCTCAGCTAGTTTGACTGGCACAACTCGATGGATTACGTTTAGTTTCTTTGGCTGTTCAGTTTTAGGGTTTCGTTAAGCTTTAATTTTAATTCGTAGTTATCCCTAATGTTAACTAATTAATGATAGGTAGCATTTTTTGTCGAGACGAAATCAACGGAACATTGCAAGTCAAGTGAACCACCAACCACCTGCCTACAATCATTCGTATCATATGAACCGTAACTAATCTAAGGATTCTACTGATAGTCATGTACATTATTGCAATGCGAAACGCTCACCAACAGAAAACCAGAAGACAGAAAACAAACATGAAAACCAACATACAACACCAAACAAAAAACTCAAACTCAAACACCAACAACAATAAGATGAGCGTAATACCTTAAGAACAACTCTTAACTCTTAAGAACCCTACAATAGTACTTAATAAACGATATAATGGTAAAACGTTAGGAGAAAGCTACAAACAAAGCAGACAAACTGATGAGGATTCAAAAGTGTTTAGTGAAATCAGTGAATAACCAAACCAAATATTGAATTCGAAATGGGCCGCATGACAACGGACGGGAGTATTTATTAAAAACAAATATATATATATATATGTACGTAGGGACAAATGAGATACGGATCGAGTCGTGCGCTTGCATAATATTTAACTATTTTTTGTAAAAGTATGTATTTTGTAGCCATCCATCTCTCTGTATCGTTTCGATCCTAGTATTCCAGCATAGCCAATGGATGGAAAAATCTGAATCTGAATCTGAATCTGAATATGCACACATTTATACGGATATACTGAATTAAAATAATGGATAACATAAGTGGGAACAGAAATGCCAGGAACGTTAACATGAAATATCAAAAAAATAAATAATAATAATAAATAGTAAATTGTACGGTCCGAGAACGCTGAAAACGATGAACGAACGAAAACTGTAACAAATGAAATTTATAAATGTGTAATGAAATTAATTAAATGTTCAAGTTTGTCAGAAATTATATGAAAATCATTTCAAAATACAAATTACAAACGAAAAAAATTTGTTTTTCTTTTTCTGATTTTTGAAATTTGCTTGTGAATGAACTGCTTTAGTCTTACTCAAGCAGTGCTAAGCAGAGTACAGAGAAAAGGAGACGACTATAGTATACGTACTAGTTTTACGGCTACCAGCTTCTGTTTGATTTTAAGGAAAGCAGTTCAAAAGAGCAGTTGAGTTTCATAACAAGCAGGTTTCGGATGTGATTGAGTTTTAATTGAACAAGCAGTTCTTACAGAAAAAGAGAAAGAGACAACAATATAGGCAAAATACGTTTCATAGCAACCAGTTTCCTGTGCTTGACATTTGAAAAGTTGGCGCGCAATTCAAAAACTGACAACTACACGAACTTTACTGAATAATTTAAAGCTTTTCAATACATTCGTGCCTCGACATATTTGCACTTGACCAGGACACGCCCGCACTTGTGCTAATTCACCTGTTTGCCGTGTAAATAATTCATTGTGAGCCTGGAAACCAAAGACCCATTTAAGCAGCTGCGTTCAAGGACTTTAAAATCACCCACCACGTTTAACCGAAATGCGTTGAATTAATTTTCGAGTAGCACTTATTTGGAGCCCAAACGTATGTATTGGTAATACCCCCCCGATGACAAGTAATTGTTTTTTATTCCCACGCCCCTCGCTTTGACTTTGACATTCTAGTGTGAAAGGGAAAAAGCAGACAAAAAGGAAATGGATGTGGCAAGGACCCTTGATGACGTGTGTGCGGAAAGCCAATTGTTGCATTACCGCGGCGTCCATTTCGCTCTGATTAGTCGTTCAGTGCTATTCGACTGGCCAGCCAGTGCGGTCATAGTTCAGCTTTGGGATTAAATATTGACTTTCGAACGGACAGGACATGGCAGCAATGGCTTCGGTAAGTGCTAAGTCTAGATGAAGGTGGTCATTAGGTGAACACTTCAAGGCGTTGATTATCCTAGATTGCTTTGTAATGGCTAAGCAAGTTTATTGTTTTCGATTTTTAGAAGCGCACCTTAAGTTCTTAACAACTCTTATTAGACATGTAACTAACTAAACTTTAAAGTTATTAGGAAGGCAAATAAGTTATTGCCTTTTATTCTGTGAAGCGAAAACATATTCTTGGTATTATTAAAGTCGTTTATCAGTCTTTAAAATCAGATCAATAGTGATTTCTTTAACAAGCTACTTAATTCACCTGAGCGAGTTCCTGATTTCAGTAGATTAGTAGGGTAGCCTTAAGTTTCCTTTGATTGCAATCATTCTCCCTCCCCAACCCAGTAATTGTTGTTTTGCCGGTGGTAATTGCTATGCAAACAGGACCCGCTGACAGCAATCGATTGAGAGCGTGTGTGCTTGAGATTAATGATAACTGCTCGACTCTGAACCGGCTTAGAAATACGTAGATTCAGGTTCTGTTGCCTGCATTAAAAAAAGAGAATAGCGGTGGCAGGAACAGCAATAGATGGAGCGGCAGATAGAGTGGAAGGAGGGTCCTCCAGCAAGAGACGTCTTTGAGTGGCGCCGCCTTCGTTAGCTGCAAATTATTTACAAGTGCTGGCAAAACAAAGGGACAGCACAACATGCAACATGCAACTCCGGCACTCGGCAAACTCGTGGCACTCGAAAAGCGATCCACACGCCTCGTTCGGCTGGATGCTGTTTTCAAGTTGGACCGAAAGCTCCGGACTTCGATGTGTGTCACACGTCGAGAGGGGAATCCCCAGAATTCCATATACATACTGGGAGAGTCGTAGGAGCGAAGGAGTCGCAATCGGAATTCATACTTGCCCCTTGTTTCCAGCTGCCTCGCGCCGGCGCCTAAAAGCGCGCCACATTATTATGTTTTTTTTTTTGCCACGGCTTGTTTTTTATCGGCCAGCATCGGCTGCCTTCAATTTTCGGCGCTTCAGAGTGAGATGCTGGGATGCTAGGCCGTTTTTAGAACATCATCTGCTCGGGCCGTGTCGATACGACGACGATGATGACGACGAGTTTGGAGGACTCGTGGCCTGGCCTGGCTATAAATGTTTTGTTTTTCTGCAGTTTGTTGTTAGTGCTGAACGGCAGTGAACGGACAGCGCTTGTTGGTTGTTGGTCTCCTCGCACACACAGGGCCCGAAAAAAGGAGCTGTTTTCCGAGGGAGTTTTGGCACATGTTTTGGTTCCGCTACAGCTTCAGCTTCAGCTTCTTTTTCCCTTCGCTTCTTCGATAAATTGTATCTTTGTATCTTCGGTTTGTTCGCCTGTGTGTGGGCAAAAACTACCGCCCAAATCGAGTGCCAAGTGACCAGAAATCCACACCAATCCCCTTACCAAAAATCTTCTTCAAACGGGACAAAGACAATCACAAAGAACAACAACGGAAAGTGCAAAAAACTTAGATTAATCTTAGATTGGCTGCCGCAAAAAGGCAGTCATTACAGTTACCAAACAAAAAGAACAGCAACCTACGAATTTCTTAGTGTATGTGTGTATGTGTGTGTGACATCCAAATACTATATACTATATAGAAAAAAACAACAACAGGTGTTTCAGCCTTAACTTATTGTCAATACCAAAGAACCACAATATAATTAAGCGCAGCAGCAGCTATTAGTAGTTGTCCATAATTGATAAGCAGAAACTTTAATTTGCTGCGTGTCAATTTTAATAGTATTTTTTGTCTGAGTGGGAGTGGGTGCGTGAGTGTGTGCGTGCGTGCGTGTGTGAGTGCGTGGGGGTGTGTATGTGTGTGTGATTGCTCGGCTCGGCGCACGTGCAACGAAAGATGGTCGAGGAGTTCCTGGAGAAGTTGCCAGAAATCGACACACGCTACGAGGTAAGTTCCTCTTGAAAACCTGTCTGGTCTTAACTATAGAAACTGCAGAGACAAAAACACAGAAAATACTACTATTTCGGCAAATAATGTTCTATTATTAAACTTATTCTCTTGAGTTTTTGAAGCATTTTAAATAATTTTAAATGCTCAAAGATTTCGTAGAAGGAAAGGGCATTGACCAGGTTTTTTTGTTGGTTTTGGGGAAGAGAAAAATGAGGAATATAATTATACGATTTTCTCATATATAAAAGGTGTACTGAAACATTTACAAAATCAAAATGTAGGTCATGAATAAAGATGTTAAATTTAAATACAAAGCAGAATTAAAAAAATTCCTAGAAAGGATAATAATTTTCCATAATCCAAAAACCTACCAGAAAACCGTGAAATTCGTTTGTTATTTTCCCGCCGTGTATGTCTTGGGTCCATGCTCCATTTCCCATTGTTGTGCTGTGTTCCTTTATTTTTTAATCACATTGCTCGGCTGTGTTTACCAAGGCTTTGTTTTGTGCTCCCACAGCTGCTGCTGCTGCCACTGGTGCTAAAGCTATACTGCTCCTGCTGTTTCAGCTGCACTAGCACTGGGTAAATATCCAGCGGCGGCTTTTGTTTTTCAGCCCAAGCACCTGCCCAACTTCCTGGCAGCCTTCCTTTCCGTTTGCTGGCCGCCATTCACAGCGTTTCCACCGCCACCCTCCCCAACCCGCTGTTTGTTTTGGCGTTCAAATTACATTTCCCTACATGGATTCTCGCATTATGCTGAGTGTACATTTGAGCCAGGGATTCGGAATTATAGTACGTTTCGCCAACTGCGGCCCGGATATTTAATCAGTACGCCACTGTCTGTTGAGTGCTGCATTTACACACTGCACTTAGCCGAAGCTCTGTCGCATTTAGCATTTGTTTTACGGCGAATATTTGGCTTAAGGTCTCCCAAGAGTAGGATGAGGATGAGAACGAAGCACCATCACCTGGCTACCACCGTTCAGCTCAGCTCGGCATTAGCCCAGATCCAGAGCCTTTGTCTCCGGTGGTGCCCTGAGCTTTCTCCAAATATTTAGTTTGCCATTGACTTGGCGACGGCTTTGGCTTAAGTGTGGTTCGGGGTCAAAAACCAGATCAGTATGGGAAGTCAAAGGGGTTTTGAAGAGTACATGCATGGGGATTTAAATATGATGTGAGTGCGAAGGTTGATTGCATATTTATATATTTTACATAACCCTTTTTTTAACGCTATTTTTATATGCATAATGGTTGTGGGGCAAATAGTAGAGGATAATCATGAAAGGCAAACAAATGTAATCAAATACAAGGTTTTCTGACACAATAAACACATTTAAATACATTAGTAAATAAAATGGGGCGATAAGCATACTTACTTTTCAACCTTTAATAGTTTAAATTCAGTTTTTAACCCCTCTGACAGTCTAAGCATTAATACTCCTTTCGGGATATTGATAGACAGATCTGTTCCTTGTTTAAATATTTTAAAATTCCAGAAAAATATTTAATAAAGTTACCACTAACCGCTAACCCTTTAAGTGACTTTAGTTGCCACATCGATTATGTCTTCAACTGGCATCGCTCAAACTTTCGTCCTCCGATATTTTTCTGCCAGCACTTGAAAGTTGGCCGTTACACTACTTAGTTGTTCTGGCCAGGCCAAGAGCCCGGCACGCAAAGGGAAAGCCAAATGGGATGGTTCAGTCAACAACTTGAAAGGCAATTAGCGCACTTCTCGTTCGGGCTTAACTGAGCTGGGTTGGGTTAGGGTCATCTGGGCCAAATACGAGTCATGGCCAACAGTTTAGCGAGCACATTAACTTTATTAGCGCGATACAATTGGGTAAACAGCGGCAAGTGCACCCACACCCATACACAAACACATTCTCTAGAACATCCACATCCTCGTAAAGACAGTATATCAACCAGTGTGTGCTGATAATTATGCGGCACATTGGGAACAATGGCGCCCGACCCTCGTAAGCCCTTTATGCCCCACAAACAGGGCACTGACAAAGCCTCAGAAAACTAATAAACAACAACAGACGCGGACGCGGACGCGGACGCGGACTCGGCTCTGGTGTCACAACGCAATCGCGATCAATAAAAATTAATTATTCAGCATACATGCATATGCGGTAAAGTACAGGCCATCAACTTTCGCTCGCACTAATCCCGCCGATGGCTTATTTATGGCCAACACATATAGTATCCACCTCCCCCGAAATACAGTTAAACAGAGAAAGAAAAGTTGGGAAAATGATATTCCTATGTCTTTATAAATATTATTTAAGAATCAAGAAAATAGAAATGAGTGGGGGTCTTGATCTTGATCTTCTTCGTTTTCTTGGTGAAGCAAAGTTTAATTTGAATTTCCATCTTTGTTTCTAATCAATCTGCATCAACATACATCTTTGTCATATTTAGTATTTCAATTTTTTGTAATTTTGTAAAAATATTCTCAGTGCACTCACATGCGTGCTGGGATCCTGGGAGGACCTTTCTTTGTATGACTTACAGCGGCTTTTGGTCGCGATGTCGCAACAATATACCCGTTAATTTGCATGACAAAGTAGCCGACCGTTGTTGGAAAAGTAGTGAGAGGTGAGGGGGAAAAAAAGGGATGGAAACGAACAAGCCACAGCGACAGACAAGTAAATGAAAATGTTTAAATTTGCCCAGGCAATTCAAACGAAAAAACCGCGATAGGGAGCAGAGGGCAAAGAGCAGAGGGAAGCTGCGAATAAAAAATTCAATTCGAGCCGGACATCGAATTTCATCCGCGTTGTCCTTGTGCCAGGACGATTGCATTTAATTAAATCCGAGCAGCGAAACCGACAATTTACAAAATTGAAATCGATGCGACAGCCACGGCAAAGTTTTGTCAGCACATGAGAGAGCCGGAGGAAAATTCGAAAAGGTGGCAAAGGTGAAATCTGCTGACGACTTCTTATCCAAACTTTGAAAGCTCGTTTGGGTTGCCAAGCCTAACCACGTGATTTATGCAAATTGCACACAAGTCTCGGTGGTAACTTTGCCTCGGAATGAAACTTAATTTGGCAAAAGTATTCCGGCGGAAAATTGAGCAGTACACACATGAAGATTATAGTTGTCATATTTAAGATTATCATTGGATCAGTTTTTGTACTTCAATTTAAATGGATTTTTCATTTCAATGGCTTACTTTTATAAATGGTTTTCCCCTTAAAATTGTTTTAATATCTGCCAGCCAATATAGTTTTCAAACTTAAATGGCTTTTCCATTGTAGTTTATTATTTTTATACAGAGCAATATTTACATTTCCCCATTTGAAATTAAAGTTTTTTGCTTTTATTTTCGATTCATAAATTCCCAAACATGTTTTCAGTAAGGAATTTATGCAGTCCAATTTTATGGCCCACATTTCGCAAATGCATTTTTTATTTCCCCACTTCTAAGTGGCAATATAATTTTATTCAGCTTTTGCTTTTCAACCTTTAAGCCATAGCTTTGTTTTTACCACATTTTCCAGTATTCATGGGTATCATCGTTAGTATTCCATTCAGGTTTAGTTTATTTGCAAAACAAAAAGCAATTTCGGCAACATTTTAATTGAAGCCCAAAACCTGTCGCTTCGCCTTTTCCTGCCACCTGCCACCTGCACACACACACACACACACAGAGCTACCTGTTCAGAAACCCACTTACCGGTTGGCTTAGTGCTCAGTGCTCTCAGTTGCCGTCCGTTATCCTGGGACATACACTCCTGGTTATAGTCCTCCACATCCGCACATGGCAGAGATATGTATCTCTGCTGGCAGGGAGCCAGCCAACAAACAACGCCGAAAAGGAGAACTCACAACGACATTGTCGTCGAAAGTTTGTCACATTTTGCAGGCAAAACATTTTCAATATGCAAAGGCCGTTAATATGACAGTCGGAAAAGTCGGCGAGCAGGCGGAACTCCGCATAGCAGACCATGCATTTAAATTGCTTCTGTTTTATGGGTAGGGGTATGGGAATGGGCGCCATGGCGTATGCGTAATATGCTGCATAATGCGTGTTTAGATCAAAATTGAATTGCGCATTATACATGTCGAATACGTGACGTGCTCATCCGCATACCCATTTGCCCTTTGACCCGCCAAAGGAGATCACATTTTCACTGCATAGTCCAAATGACTTTTGTTGTTTTCTTTTTCCTTTTTCCCCCGATTTTTCCTGTTTGCCAATGAGCGTGAGTGACAGAACTGATTTTCCCAGCCTCCCCGCTGGGAAAATTGTTTGTTATCCCAGATTTCAAGCTTTAAATCTTTTTGGATTTCATTTTTGGCCATCAATCAAACTATTATTTGCTGAAATAAATTATAAACTTCAGCATACACATCATCATCCAGTCAGAGCTGGCAATTTATTGAGATGAATGTAAATTGATATTTATTTAGCTGGAATTTAGTTTGAGTTTGAAATTTCATATACTTGATTCGTATATTTTACGTTCTAGTCAAAACGAATTTTAATTTTTAATGCAAGCTTTCTGAAGTTAGTTTATATTGTAAAGGTTTTTATTATTATTTTCTGATTTTTGTATTAGGTTTGAAAATGATAACAATCTGATTTTTGGTTTTTACTTAAATCATTAATCTAATCTCACATCATGAAAGCTATAAGAAATAAAAGATTAATAAAATCAAATTATAGCATCAAAATATTGTCGAAAAACGTAATCAATCCTAAGCTAAAATCTGCTTATAAGTTTATGATTTAAAAACAGATTCCTTTAAGATATCGAAAACCCTCTTTGTGGCTTAACTCAGCAAGGCGTAAAATAAGAAATAGTTCATCCACAAAAATTAAAATTATAACTAGGTCAATTTATTCCGTTTTCCTTTCGTTTTCCCCATTAAAATCAAGACAATCATTGTGAAATATTATACAGACTTTCATACGCTTTGAGTGCATTGAGAACCACTCACACAAAACATTTCACCAGCTAATCCGAAGGAGCAGCAGCAGCTAACCGGAGGATCAAATGCGTTTATTACCACGCTAATCCTGTAAATTCATTAATAAATGTCGACGAACGAGCCGAGCATAATCCATTTTACTCAAACCCTGCCCTCCTCCCCCCCCTTTCTGGGGCACAGTCCGCTGACTGCACACAATACAGATACATATATCCGAGGGAATATATCACGGCTGGCTGGGCAAGAGCAGCTGCTCCTCTCGGCTCTTCCTGTCCAGGCAGCTGTAACCAGTCAAACTGGCAGATAGAGAGAGAGGAAAAAAAAAACACACAACTGGAATGCCTTTGTTGGCACTTCAACAAAAGCGCAGGAAAAAAGCCGCAATTTATCTAGTTCATTTTTCGTGGCAAAAGCACAGCGCCCCCTCTGCACACAATTAAAAACGTAAAAGAAATTTATGAAATTTATTTGGCCGCAGGACATGCTAAAATAAATGCAATTTTTCCGCCTTTCCTAATTAGGTTTCCCTACGTACATTTTTTCCCATATTCTGTTTTTCTGTTACTTTTTCTCATGGTCATAACTCCTGCCGATAAGCAGACGGCAAACATATGGCGGGCGTACATGATTGATGGGAGTTTTGCATTCATATGTTTGTGTTTCCGCTACTATATATATGCTGTGTATCCTTGTTGCAGGATATTGTGCCCATGGAACAAGTGAGCTCGATGGTCTCCAACGGCGGCGGCAGTGTGGCCATGCAGCGCGACGATGAGTACAGGAATCGGATCATGAAAAGTAAGTGTGTCGTCAGGCAGCCAAAAACAGAGACTCCCCTCCCCCTATCCAATCACACAGAGAGGTAACAAAACTGGCAGGACCACTATCCCTGACCTACTGGCTTTGCAGTTGACATACTTAGTTTAATCCCCACACACACATATACCCTTACAGCTCCTCATACCCCACAGCAGGAGGGGCAAATAAATAGCGTTTCACATTTCGCTTAACCGTTTTGCATCCCCCTCCGCCACGGCCATGTCTCTGCATGCCTTACAAACTCTCACACACGCTGCGCGCCTTACTCTTAGCCTAGATTTAAGCCAAGCGTAGATGCAATCGTCATTTCGACACATATAGTATATATATATATATAAATATAACATACACCCCCTAACCACCAAAAAAACACACATTTGCGCAATTTGTAAATTCGTCGACTAACCAGTTTCTTTCCTTTAAATTATATATTAAACGTAAACTCATTTCATGACGCTTGCCCAACAAATTCGACGAATTTGGAACGCTCTCTATCTGTACAAAATTGCATTACAAATATCAAATAACGAAAAATGCCTCATCAAAATCCAACTAACCAACCAAAAATCAACCAAAAACCAACCAAAAACCAACCAAACAAACGCTTCTCTCTCACATCTCTCCATCTGTAGTACGTAGACTTGGTGAGTGCAACTTGATTAATATTTTAATAACAATGCTTTCGATTTCGATTTCGGTTTCGGTTTGTATATATCTAAGTACTATAAACATCGTAACTATGTGCAAACATGCGCATAAGTTAGTTACTGGTAAGTATGATTTCATTTACAATTGAGATAGTTTAGCCCGAAATTAAGTTCCGAGTGCATAAATGAAATATTTACAAGCGCCTGATTGCTCTTCAGTGTTCAACAGGGCGTATGAGCAATGCATCCAACATATGTACTATATATAGGTATATGCATATGTATAAGTGTGTACGTGTGTTGGTTTTTCCTGTGCGCTTGTGTGTGAAACGCATTAGCATTACATTTACATTTACGTTTACCAGCAAAAGGAAATGGTCTCGGGGGGCGTATACTTAATATCTGTTTGTACTCGTATACGCCCGCAAGGCCCTTTTGCACTGTGGCTTTTCAGTTTCAGTTTTCAGTCAGTCCGTCTGTCCGTACGTCCAAACGAAACGACAACTTCATTTGGGCCAACTGAGAGAAGCTCATAAACCATAATGCTGACCTCCACTGTAAATTACTGGACCAGCCCCGGACAAAAGGCCCTCGAAAGGGCTTGGGCATTTTTCATCATTAGTTAATTTGGGTTCCCAGTTGTCCACCAGCCACCCTTTTCTTTTCTTCTATACCTTTGCCATGTTCGACCCACAAATTTAGCATAAACTTGGCATTTAGGCAAAGGCAACGAAAACAAAAGTAAGAAACAAATCATTTGCAGGCCAATGACAAAAGCGGGTCGGAATAAAAGAAATTAAAAACGCCTGGCTGGGCCCAGTCTAACCCCATTTTGTCGTACTGAACAACTCCCTAGCTGAGGAAGAGGAAACCCTCGGGAATTGGCTGCCAACAAATGCAGGAGCTCTCTCAGTTCAATGCTCTGGATGCTGCAGCAAAAGTCAAGAAAATCGCCTTAGACGCGAACACAAACACAGAGAACCATATAGAGCAAATATTTTATGTCTTTCATTGAAGAACTTTGCGCAGCCTTTTTCACTTTGATGCACGGAAAAAAGAAGAGGTTTAGAGATGATTTATTGAAATATTTTTAGATTTTATTAGCTTTATCTGTGATTAACATTAAAAACTCCATAAAAAACTAAAAAACATAAAAACTTCTTACAAAAATTTAACTAAATTAAGAGCACTCCAAAAAGCTTTCACCATCTCAACATAAACTTACTTTCTCTTTAATTGCTAAGACAACATTTTCTTTCAAACTTCCACTTTCAAGTACAGCCATCTTAATTTCCTCTGTGTAAGAGGCCAAAGTTTTTCCCCACTCGTTTCGGTTATGAGTTTTCCCAACCAAAAAAAAAAAAAAAAAAGAAACCAAGAAGAAAAAATAATAAAATAAATGTCTGAGCATTTTTCCCCTTTTGGCCAGATTCAAATGATACGTTTGAAGCATACTTGATGCGCACAGATTTTTCACAACTTTTACGGCAGATGCCAGGCATTTTGGCCAAGTCGAGTCGAGAGCAAGGATATTGCATATCGATCGGATTCGGATTCCCTAAGGACATTGAGCCAAGCGGAAACAAGGCATTTAAATGGTGGAAATTGAGTATTGAATAGTTGGCAAACAATTCCCAAATACTTTTTCCTTTTGTAGGAAAAAAAACACTTAACTCGTAACGGGGAAACTTTAAGAATGCCATTAATTAGGTCGCCTTTAGAGGCGTGTCGCTCTCCCTTGGCCAAATGGCCCGCCAGTTTAGCTGCCATTAAAGCACAATAATAGGCCCTGTCGGCTCCAGTCTCGTCAGTTTTTAGCCAGACTCTGGCAGTTGGCCAGGCACTGACAATACAGCTTGGCAGACAAAAGGCAAACGGAGCCCCCAGAAAATGACGCATTTGGGTGCAAGTGGCTCGTGTGGCCTCATGCGGAAGTTGTTAATTTGACGCACAAAAGGCAAATGGCGATGCAACTGGCACAAGTGGCGTTAGCATGAGACACTAACGGCTAACATGTCGTCGTGGTGCAACAGGACGTATACGTATTCCGATAATTACCCAAAGGGACAGCAGCTTTACAGACTTTCCAGTCTTAACTTGTTGCCAAAGGTTTATATCTATGTATGTGCCTAGTTTATTGCCTGTTTGGGTGGTTCGTTGGCTCTGCTTAAGCAAACACACAAGCAACCAATTAGTGCAATTTATATCAATTCGCAGACGAGTTTTTGCTCATTAGCCAAGCTTAAAATGGAAAATGCAATTACCTGCTTCAGGTAGTAAAAGGTAAATAAAAAGCAACAATTTCCGTTCACTGCCTGGGGTGCACTTCAAATAAGAATGGAGTTTTTCTATCCAGAGCTGTTATTAAATGCATTTTGATTAAAATTTTATCATGAAATAATGTTATTGTTTTCATTATGAGTACAGAAGGGAATATTGTATCATTAAAAATGTGCTTCCACCATAACAAATAACAATGCAGTCTTTAATTATTACACCACAAAAGGATTTCATTTGAATAAATGGTTTTATTACTGAAACTGATATGCGCCTTTTCACAGTCTGTTTAATTTGCTGACCAAACAATACCCGTATTCTCGGACTGTTTATCCAATGTTGCCTTGAACTCATCGGTTGCATTAGTTCGGCCCTCAGCGGGGCAAATGAAAACTGCCGCCTTTCAAATATTTACAATTCAATTTGACAAACACAAAGATAACGAGCCAACAGTTCTTGGGGACCGAGGCATTAAATATTCAGGTTTATGCAAGCATGTAAATGCCAGCCGAGAATCGGCGAGGATATGGCCAAGAGTCGAGTCCTTGCGTGACTTTCGTGCCTGTTTTCTGCCCACGGGAGCAACCGGTTGAAAGTCGAGACTCGAGCCTGTAGTCGTTGTGGACCGGGCTTAGAACATGCTAAAATGGCCTACTTGCTGGCCCAAAAAAGGGTGGCGCTTTTCGCTGAAGAAGGGGAGGAGAGAGAGAGAGGGAGAACACAGATGCGACAGTTGACAACGCGGTCGAGTTGACTCAAGTCGACTTGACTCGTCTTGACTTGACTGATGCAAAAGCATCAGCGGCAGCCAAATGAACGCTGGCATAATGAAGGCGGTTGCGGGGGTTATTTTCTACAATGCTTGAGGTTTGGTAAGGGATTGAGATGCACTTGTAAAAATAGCTATTAAAATAATAAAATATAAACCAGAAGGCAAAGAAGCTGTTAGCTTAAACGATTTGCAAAATGTGGGTTTAATAATCAGTTAAGTTTTCTTAAGACAGATTTTCTCCCATCAATTAAGCAATTTCTCTCAGTGTTTTTATTGTAATATACATTTCGGGGCTGCATCTAGTTCGAAGTAAACTAGTTCGAGGTTGTCACCAACAAAGAAATCGCTGCATCAAAGCGAATGGTCTCCGTTACATCTGGCCTGGCATGGCATCCCATCCGGCAGTTCACATCCTGCATCCTTGAGCTGAAAACGTAAGCGGAAAGCGAACAGTAGTTTGGCGAGCTATTAACTTGTCCACTGTCAATGGCAATTAGCATAAATTGTGGCCCACTCCTTGACCCAACCACCGCGCCACTGTCAACTGTTGTCCAAGCACAAACAAAGGGGGTTATATTTACCCGATAAATACGTAAATAAGTTTAAAACCATCGCTCAGTTCGGTTTGGTCTATAAACTACGCCGGACTTGTGGAAAACGAAGAGCGGACAACCAGCACGTTGCATATCCCCAGGCGTGCTGTTATTAAATTAGTTTACCGTGTTCGCTGTTCAGAGTTCGGTGTTCCGTGTTTTGTATGTGCGCTTCGTGTCCGGTGCTTCTTGCTTCGAGCTAGTGTTCCGGTTGGTGGACTACGGATTAAGGATACGGGATTAAGGACTCCCCGGATCGAGGACTACGATGAGTCTCAGCAGCAGGAACGCCATCTTACGTACGGCTCACTTGACAATCGCAGTCGTTGCTGCATCGCACATTGTTGATGTTGTGGCTTTCCCTTTGTGGTTGTCCTAATTTAAGTGAGGAAACTGTGGGAAAGGCCCCTGGAAAAGAGCCAGCCCAGCCGGAAAACTTTGTGCCCGAAAACTTTTTAACAGAGTTCTTTGGTCGAGAGCGCTTGCTGCTTAAAGGGGAAATTAAATAAACGAAAGCGGTGGCAAACTCAACCAAAAAGTTAGACTCAAAAGTTTCGGTGTGGCAATTAGCAAGTGGCAGGACCAGCAGAATATTACCTTCAATTCCCAACAGCCAAGGTCCAACGTAAAGCTCCAAAATATCGGACCGTACGGATAGCCTGTGGCAAGCGACTGCCACCAGCATGCAACAGCCACCTCAGCGGCACGGCCGACCTGCACCACCACAGCACCAGCACAGTCAGTATCAGCACCAGCACCACAACCAGTGGGCTCTGCACCACCAGAATCACCAGGCACAACGCACCACCGGAAGGCACACAATGTTGGGCAGTAACCACAGTAGCCAGCGGGAGACCAGTGTTTCGCCCCGTCGAGTGGCTCTCGACACCACCGCCTCGGGATCCACCACTGGATTTGGGTTCGATCGGGGTAAGCACCAACGCGGGTTTCTGATCAGGTATTAAATTTAATTTCAAGTTAAATCTTCTAAGTTTCATAAGTTTTAATGTTCTTGCTCAGCTTCCGTGAATCAAATTTACGACTTCCTAGAGCATAGGCTTTCCCTCCTTGCACAATTATCATAAACCATTTAGTCGCAGTCTCATAATTCCAACTATAATTTATAATCCTCAGTAAGGCATCTTTAAGTTGCTGGGCTTTTAATTAAATCCTCGAAATGCTGGGGCGACATTTTTCCGGAAAAGTGGGGAAATCCAATGAGAAGTGGGTGTAACTCAGCAGAAATATGTTCGAAAAATTGCCGAGGCGTGTTCGTCGACGCCAAGTAGGAAACGGAGTGGAGTGCAGTGGACAGGAGGGGGCGGATGAGCGCAGTGTGTGGGCGTGGCATGTGC